AAAATGGCCACATTTTTAATCTGCCGACCTTGACTATGGATAATTTTTCCTTTTAAACCAACAAGTTTTTTAGAAGGCATTGTGTTTTACATTAAATAAAACACAACTCTCACTTATAAACGTCTTAAAATAGTCAAAAATCAAAAATATAACAAATAAACGATTCCAAAAACAACATCAAATGTCAAACGCTAATTAATTAATAAATAAATAAATAAATAAATGGCTATCGGCATAACAATGTTCGTTCTACTAGTGGCGTGACCCTGTCGTTATTAGGTAAAAAGACATAATTTGGTTTCTGCAAATGTCATTGTGTTGTAACTTCAGCAGGCTTCTTTTTCCATGAAACAGGGTGTATTAATAAACTTATCCTTTAATTATGCCTATCGGACTTTTTGAGCAAAAAAGAAATAAATAATGGGGCATGTTCAAAAATTTTGAAATTTTTTTTATGAATAATAGAGTTGAAAATAAAACTACATTTTTTTTATCTATTCATTTGCCGGAGTTATGAATTTTTTTAAAATTTATGACGTCACCGGGAATAGACCAATAGGAGCTAGCGCACAACGTTGCCGGCTAAAAGGTTTACGAGAAGTGATGTACGTTCGTTTGTGTACTCCTTCTTACTTTTAGACTTCTAAAACATCGTTAAACAAATATCTTTTAAATATATAATATCAAATGTTTTTTGAAAGTATTGTTTCTGTTTAAACTTTTACCATATTTAAAGTTTCATTGTTTTAAAAGTCACTTAATAATTCAGAAAATGGCAAAACGGCAGCACTGTATGTCATCTGTCATAGTGTCTCCATCAAAAATTTGTTTGGAATTTGAGTGTTTATTTTGTACTTTTTATAAATAAATATAACTACGAAAAAGTATTTTGTTAAAGAATGTGATAATGATTCACATTCATCTTCAAAAATATTTATTAGTGTTCCTAGAAATTTGGAAAGAAGAAAATCAACCTGCTACTAGCGATGTTTCTCGTCAACTTTTTAATAAAAATACACGGGATATTCAAGATGTAACAGCAATTTCTGCTAATTGTCTCCTTCAGGATATTCAAAATGAGGCTACCATAGGAGGCTACTATAAATTCTTAGGTGTATAACCTAAAGTGGGTATTTAAACAAACTGGTTCCTGGATCCCATATAATGGCAGATAGGGGTTTAAGAATATTCAGTCAATACTTAAAAACATGGGATGCACTTTAGTAAGGCCACCTAGTGTATCACAGAATGAAAAAAGTGCTCCAGAAGATGTACAATTAAGTAAAAGAATAGCATCTATAAGAATACATGTGGAAAGAGTTATAAGAAGGGTTAGGGAATTTCACATGTTAAAAACCACATTTCTGTATGAATTTTAAGCAAGTACATTTACTTAGTATCTGCATAATTGCTTGTGGTATTGTTAACTTACAAGAACCTATTTTGTAAGAGTAAATATTAATTTAATAAACTTTTTTTATTTGTTTTTTAATTTAATTTACCTAATCACATTTCAGGGATTATAATGAAGAGTTTTTAAACAGCCAATGTAATTTTTTATAAAATTTTAACTTTTCGAGCAAATCAAAGCAGAATGAGTACCTGTATATGCATAGATTTGGGACCTATTTGGCACCTATTTACAGCAGTTTAAAATGAAACATTTTAACAAAAACAACCAAATTCAGTTGAATGTGGTAGCAAAGTCTATATATTCCAATAAGTCTGGTAACTACATGTGGTATCACTGGTGATAAATTTAAAAATATCACATCTCTTGCCACCTTTTTCAAAAAACCAGCAAGTGTGACTTCTTATCAATCCTAGACGAAAATGACAACATTGATAAATGTGAAAAAAAATATTTAATGTTGCTATTCCTTATTATGAGAGTAAAACATAAATCTAAGTAAAAACAACCAATGTCAAAGGGTTATAATTTTTTCTCTGTCAAACCAAATATAGCACAAAATTAAAAATTGATCATAGGTGAAGCTAAAGTAATACCTTTATTGATAGTAGCTTTAAAAAAGGAGAAAGAATAATATTGACTTAAGTTATTATTATTAACATTGGTGATTTTTAATAAAAACTCTTCAATTATTGTTTACAAACAAAAATGTAAAAATCTGTGAAAATTTTATTTATTAACCTATTAATGAAAAATGAAGTAAAAAACAATTTATTTACAAATAAAAAATATATATATACAAATCCTAAGAATATAAAAGTACTGATTTATTTTCCTGTAGTGGATGAAGAGGTTTCTTTAACAATCTAGCCAAGTGTACATCAATATTTACGCATTTTGATAAATTAGAGCCTTTCCAATAACACTGAGTAGATGTTACAGATGGTTCCTCACTTCTTCTATGAAGCCACATGTTTACAACCTCCTGAAAAAAATAAAAGGGTTAGATATGCAGTTACAAAATAACTATATAACCAGCTACAAAATGCCTTATTTTATGTAACAAGACGAGCAGAGCTTTACTAGCTCTGAACGAATCCAGTAAAGAACCTCGGATTTTCAAAACTTAAAAAAAACAATCTCACCACATTTTCACATTTTTGAAATATTATAGAGCTTTTCGAAAAAAACTGCTATTTTTAAAAGTACAATTTTTTGTTTAAACAGCTATGTCTCATTTTAGGCTATTGAGTATTATAAAATAAAAAATTACGGGATGCTTTGTTAGCTTCAAACGAATCCAGCAGAGCACCCCAGTTTTTTTTTAAACCACACCACGTTTTTTGGCTCCTACAATATTATAAAATATTCGAAATTTGGCATTTTTAAAAAAATTCGCAATTCCTTGCTGACTTCATTTTTTTTTTTTTTTCTGAAAACAAATATACTTACCACATTTTTAGGATTTTAAAACAGCCTAAACATGTGTCATAAGTAGTTGTTTTTATATATTAAAAAACTGAAGTGTCCTGCTGACTTTGTTCCAACAAAGCACCCTGTATTATATAAAATAGCAATTTGTTTAGTAAAGTTTTACAATATTTCAAGAGTCTAAAAATATTCTAAAAATGGGGTGTGGTTTTTAGAAAAAAGCTTTAAAAAACCGAATTGCTCTGCTGGCTTCTTTCGAAGGTTAGCAAGCACCATGTATTTTTTAAAAATATAATATTTCAAGTGCATAAATATATGGTGTTGCTGTTTTTACAGAAAAAACTTTATAAAACAGAGGTGCTTTGCTGACTTCGTTCGAAGCTATCAGAGCATTTTAAGTTTTGCACAAAACGAGGAGCATAAAATTTTTGAAAAGGGTATAAAAATAGCCTAAAAATATAGCATATGTTTTAACTCAAAATTTCATAGGTGCTCTGCAGCATTCTTTGGTATCATAATTATTACTAGGTTCACTAACAAAATCTATTTCTAGATTATTTTAACACTTGCTGCGATTACAAAAAAATGTCTATATGTCAAAATTAGAAAAAAAATATTTATAGGAATAAAGGGCCTTATACACTGTTTATTATATGTGATATAAAAACAAAAAAGTATAATAAATATTACAAACCTTGAGATTCAGCATATCCTAAGCATTGTGCACTAAAAATTTCATTTTTGTTAAATACAACAACCACATCTTAAGGTTTTTGCTGTACTTTATGTTTAGGTGTAATTTGTCTCCTTCTCTCTTATGGAAAAAGTAAATATCTCCATATTCTTGCTTGGCAGATCTAAAAATAAAACCTGAGATAAATATGTTTTACTATAAGGTGTATTGCTTCATATAAACTGTAACTACCTACCATTAAAACAATTTATAAATAAAGTTTTACCTTTCTATCTTTTGTAAACTGAGTATTGTTAAAAAATGCAGTAATCATCTCCGTAATCATATTTTCGTTTACAATGGGAAAAATACTTGATTCAACTTTTATAAATACAGCTGATAAATTCATATTCTTCTTCCTTTATTGGGCTATATCCCACAGGATAATTTACCCAGATAAATTCAGATTAATAATAAAATTAAACCAAAACAAAAAACTAAGGTTAGTTTTAGTTGTTAGGTGGTGTCAATTTTTAATGTCACTTAGATGTGCGTTCACTTCGACATTCTGTGTGTCGGTTTGTTCGTTGGCTTGGTTTTGTATAACAAAAAAAACTTCGACACAAGCTGATTGGTCTATTCCCGATGACGTATAATTTCAAATTTTAAATTTCAATTGGGCTTAATTTAAAAACTTTTAGCATTTTTAACGAACTGATTATTTAGAATAACTTGTATAGCGACTAACTATTACAATATAGTTTATAAAACAGCATATCTCACATGTGAACATGGCCCATTACTTGTGTAACCATTCACAATACATTCAGCTCAATGGATTCAAGTCTGTTAAGTAGCTTGTCGCATCCGTTGCCTATCAAAGTTCGAATCTGGGTCCTTTCTTATTTAATATGTTCATAAATGATATTAGTAGTGTAATTAATGTCAATTATCTACTGAATGGTGATTACATCAAAATTTATGTTGGACTGTTTGTGGGATGGGCCACCAGTCGGTTTCCACATTCATATACAAAATTTACAGAAATAACAGATAGTTATTTTTACGATAAAAGACAAAAGTGGTATGCGCTAGTTCAGTGTGATGTCATTTTGGTTCCACTGACATTTAATTCTAACCAAACTTTTAACAAAAACATCAATAAATTTGACATATACGTTTCTACTGTTTTCAGTTTATTTCTAAATATTGTTTACAAGTCATAAAAAATAGTTTAAAGGTATGTAATTGGTAACTAAACCATTGTATATTTGATATATGGTATCTACTTACTTTAGGAATATATTTATAAAAGTGAAAAAAACGATATAGTTTAGGTAAACAAAACGCACTCAAAAAATCTACTGTCACTTTAATTGTCAGTGGAACCATAATTACATCATCACTGAACTAGCGCATTGTTGTTACTGTAGTTAGTGTGAATTTGATTAAAATTAATTTTAAAATACTTTTAATTTGTTACAGGTATTCTAGCAGGCCACGATAACCGCGTTAGTTGTTTAGGAGTAACAGATAATGGAATGGCAGTGGGGACAGGGTCTTGGGACAGTTTCCTACGCATTTGGAATTAAGACAGTGATGCCAAAACAAAAAACAAAAAATGTTAAAATTTCTCACCTGCATCACGTTCTGTTATACGTTGCATTTATTCAAAGCCGGAACTTTTTTATTTTATTAAGTGTATCATATTATATAGATAGTTCTATTTTTTCAATATTTCTTGCTTTTTTTATGATCATATTTCTATTTCTCTAGCATATACGTGTCTAGCTTTGTGATGTATTTCTTTAGTTTGTAAGTCGTTATTTTTTTGTGAAAAATTCCACGAGTTTTTAAAGCGCCAGCCCATGTATGTTGTGTATAGTATTTAATATGATTTAATAAGTTAATAAATCAGTATTTTTTTTTCTCGTCATTATCGGTGATGTAGGTGAGAAACGACGATGTTGGTTCAGCGCGTGCGCCAACTAGCGTACAGTTTTCATTTTGGTTAGTTCCAAGTACAAAACATATGACCAAGCTAGTAAAAGTACCGTACATTATCCTGAAACTGTTTTTATCCAGTCGGGCCCAGTTCTCTCAAATCACTCTCTTAAAAAAAGGGCCACCGACTGTCTAAAAACTCCCCTTTTTGGTGAAGAACAAAATCTGCTTCTTGAACAAAAAACGGCGGATTCGATAAAACTAGTCTTACAAATTTTAACCAAAACGTTGAAAGTGTGCCATAATCTCAACATAGCGTCACAACACAAAAAGACCAAAAAAAAACATGATAGAGCGGATTGTGGCGTTGAATTGAATTGAACAACAGGCAGATTATGAATCAAATTGTTTTTGAGATACTGCCTATAAATTTTTTGGAAAGAACAGTGTTCCATTTTGCTAATACTTTTTTTATCGACACTTTTTTTATTTACCTCAGTGTTTTTTCTATAAACAACATCGCAGTTCTGTACATATATGTTCCTCTGATGATGTTTTCGTCTTGTTTTTTAGAACTCTTTAAGGTTTTATCATCCCCCACATGACTATATAGCTTCTGCTTGAATGTAAGTGGTATGAACATTTTTTTAACCAACAAAAATCACTTGGTTTTCTTTCGTTTTGATTGCACGAGCATAATGCGGTATATTTCCCGTGATATTTTCAACGTCTTTTTATAAAATTTCATACTGTATCGCGGGGCATATTGCCATTAAACTTAAGTGTATAATTTTAAATTATTTATTCGAGTATGAATGGGCAAGCGAGCATGTGAACAAAAAAAATAGTGGCGCGTTTGAGGGACTCGGGGCCAGAGGGTTTTATTAAGTTGGGCTGAGAAATCACAAACACCTTATCCCGCCGTGAACAATTTAATCAAAATCGATTAAAATTGGAAGTACAACCGTCCAATAAGGGCTCAAGATTGTTTACGACTGTATACGATGCACTGTGTTGCCGCGCTTTCCCCAAACCCTCCCCCCTTTTATATATTTCTTAAGCAAATTCAGAAAGCGCACAGCAGAGTGGTTTGTGATTTATGGCTTTTCTTTCTATATCATTGATCCCATAACTCGGAATTTCCTTATTTTTATTAACGAAATTCCAGAGTTTGAACCGGCCCCCGAGTCAGGTTTAAATGTTTTTATATTAATAGGGAAATACCACAAGAAGAATAATGTAATAATTGAAAAATCTGTTAAATCATTGCCTCCTATTATTTAAAAATTTTTCAGGGCACAATTTTAAGCATTGATGTAGCGTTTTTTTATTTACCTCAAGCTGTCTAAGACTTCTGTAAAGCCATTGCTGCTCTTTTTTCATCCAATGAAACAGCAGCAATCGCCTTAAGGCACAAATTTTATTCTAAATACTTATAAATATGGCGTATATTTTTTATTTATCTGCATTATATGGATATACATCTAAAACTGGAATTATCTACATGATAGGTGATTGTGCAGTTTTTTCAAAATGTAGTTTAGAATTGTCATTTTTTTATTGTTAATGATTTACATGCGTACATGGTGTATATGAATACTATAGCAACATATATGTTATATTGTAATGTACCTAATAAAATAATTTAAACAGAACAATGTCGTCTCATTTTCTTCATAACAACCTCGAATTACAAATTTATCGTTTGGGATATTCAATTTCTTTTAAATTATACTAGAAATAGTGTTCTATAAAAAATGTTTTTAAAGTAGATTATGACTAGCAAAGACAGATACGAGCCTTTGCAAATAATAGCCAAGAAATAACTGTCTTGCTATTCTGTCCTCTGACGTTCTGGTAGTTATTTGGTTTGAGATACTGTTGGTCTTCTGGGCTTATTCGGTTTTGAATTAATTAATAGTATATTAAAGTATAAGTTATCCACGAATACTTTACGCTATTTTTTTTTTTTTTTTTTTATTGATATACTTTGAAATCCTAAATATTGCTATTATTTCTACAAAAAAATGGAAATAAGAACTAATAACTGAAAATGGTTGAATTTGTGATGTAACATCAGTATACCTCGTCATGAAACTGAGACAAACAAAAAGGACTGCAATAATCTTATGGAAATTGGGTTTCTGTCAAATTGTCTGAATTTTTGATATGTTGTAGATTTTGTCATCCTGAACAAAAGTCTCCATGGGACAAAGTGCCAAAATGAATATTTTGGCAGCTACGGAGCTGCCAAAGCTCCCCTGATCCGTTGCAAAACTATTCATTTTCAATACTATTTACAGATGTCAAAAGCATATTTTGATTATTCTAATATATAGGGTAATGTTTTTGAGGTCAATGGATTCAACCCTCATAGGGACCGTGCGTCATGACTTTAACGCTAACTGGTGACAAAAATGTGAACTTTTTGGGGGGTATTTATTAATGTTTTATACGGCATTTATGGTTTAATAATTATTAATAAAATGAAGTCGAATTATTTTCGTAATATCAATATCGAAAAAACTTGTTGCATCCGTGGATGTACAAACACATCACTTTAGAAACCTGGATTTCATTCGATAGTAAAGAAATTTTATAAATTTCCACAGAGCACAATTATGCCTCACACCCAATGATATACATAATTACAAAGATTGCTTATCCATATGTAAATCAGACGACGAAAAGTGTATTTCAAAGTTTTCTTTTTATCTAGCTTGTATCAATTTTGAGCACTTAGTTGTAAAGAAATCATTTACAGAAAAATTAGAATCTTTAGTGTTTTCTTGTCATTAAGATTTTTACATATTTAAATGACCATTTTATATAAATATAATTTTACAGATAATGGTTTATTCTGTTGATTAAAACTAATGTAGAATGTTATGAAATAAAAATATCCAATTTGACAAAAATATCACGGCCCTCTTTACAATTTATTAACTATTTCTCATTTATTATTAAAATAAACAAATCATAAATAATACATTGCAATTACTGTCAAAAGAGATTGTAACAAACTTTAAAATATTAAAAATCCAGTGATTTTTTGTAAATTTTTTTAGTGACATTACCATTAAACATTATTCAGAATAATAGATAAGTGTCCAATTACAACTCTTACCAAAGTTGTTCATACCTGCTCATATCAAAATTGTTTACATTACCTTTTCAAAATTGTATTACATATTGCAATTATGTATTTTATGTAGAATTGTTTTTGAAATAGTAGTCTAAAATTATTTATATCCATCTGTTATAAAAATTGTTTAGATCTCTTAATATTATTTAACTACATGAAAACTCAACTTTCCAAATACATAATGACATGACTTGAAGTAAAACTTTAATTATTATCTTTTTCTAAAGATTAAAATGCTGAAATTTTATTTTAACACATTTGGGCTAGAACGGCTCTATTTAGTGAGCACTAGGAAAGGCACATTGCAACCAGTTTTTCATAATTTTTTTATAGTTGGGTGAGCAATCTATAATATATGTATCATTGAACATCTCATAAACGCCAGTGGATGAATGACATTTCGATTAACATAAAGCTAAAAAGATTTATAATTATTATTATCAATCTTTTTTATTAATTTACATTTTTTAAATGTTATTGTAATACTTTTAAATTCAGTGTTACTAAATACCTATATTTTAACATTGGATACACTTGTTTAAGGTACAACTTTACAATTTATTGTCACTTAGCCATTTAAATCTTTTTGCTTAAAATGTATATGCATGTCCAGATTTTAATAATGTTTCACATTTTACGTCATTTTGACCATGTACACGATTGTTTGGTACGGGCCGGTATCTATTTTTAACTATATTTAATATTTAAAAAAATACCCTTCATTATTTACTTGCAATGTTTACCCCATTTAATTCTAAAATTAAACACTAGAGAGGGCTAAGTTCGGCAGTAGTGCTGCCTCTATATTTCACGCACGGTCCCTATATCAGATTGGACAATTTGACCGTTGACAGCTGTCAATTCACGGTCAACGAGGAATATAAATAAATATCCTCTTTTCACATTGAGAGTTTGGGTTTTTGAGGTTGACAGCTGTCAACTGTCAATTTGTCCAATCTGACATGAGAATTAGGCATTCCAAACAAATGAATTACCAGTGGGCAGGTTTGGTAAATCTAAGGGTAGCGACATATGGTGTATTCTATCTACTTTACGTAAAATCATGAATAATGGATTACATTTAAATATTTTATGTCAAACAATAAAAATGATATTTAAAAAACCCACCTATACATTTCTTCATAAATTGGCAGGCTTGGCGAGTACTACTTCGAATAAAAATAGCGTCCAAGTTGCAAGACTATGTCGCTACCCCCCTTAAATATACAAGAATTTCCCACTGGCACCTATTGTTTGACAGGTCGTTGGAATGCCTAATTGAATTCAGCGACCTCAAAAACTCAAACTGTCAATGTAAAAAGAGTATTTACTTTTATATTCCTCGTTCACCGTGAATTGACAGCTGTCAACGGTTAATTTGTCCAATCTGACATGAGAATTGAATTGAGAGACCTCAAAAACCCAAACTCTCAATGTGAAAAGAGGATATTTACTTTTATATTCCTCATTGACAGCTGTCAATTTGTCCAATCTGACATGAGAATTGAATTCAGCGACCTCAAAAACCCAAACTCTCAATGTAAAAAGAGGATATTTACTTTTATATTCCTCGTTGACAGTGAATTGACAGC